TAACACACTGATACGTGTTTGTTTCCATTTCAAAATTATGTAGTACATTACAGTGGAATGAAAAAAAATAATGCACTCAGTGGGAAGGGCAACAAAACAAAGCTTTAAAAAGGAGCCCGTCTTGATTAATGTAAAACGACTACAGTTTTCATGCTTCGAATTAAACCGCTTGTTGAAAACAAACTGCAATCAAAGTGCTCTTGATCATTCAGAGAGAATGATCTCTTCAGCAGCCTGACCGTAACTGTAGTGTACAGTATCTGTACGTTTATCGTAAGACCTCCATTTTTGTCTATAAATGCTTTAATGTGTCTGTAATTAAAGTTAACTGCCAGGGCCATTTCTGCAGAGCTGGTCTGAAGACCATAATGCGTTCAAAGCCACCAGCCCCAACCGCAATGAAACAATTAGAATCACTGAGCCGAAATGTTGGTCCCTAATAGCATTCTCCTTCTAGGCATGAGCAATCAAGACTTATCCAAGGCATGACAAACGGAGCCAGAGGGGACCTGTGTCAGCTCATCTGGGCTGGAATCCGTGCAGCCGCTCGACATTTACTGATCTAAAGTCCGCAGAGCTCTTTGGGAATATATATACGATCATAGTGGTTTGCTTTGGGTGCTGACCCCAGATCAGCACTTCCACTCTGCTTGACTTTGAAGTTTGGCCTCAGATTGCAACGGCAGTTTTACGCCAAAACCACGAGACAATGAGACTGACTCATTTTTTTCCTATGGGGGGTGGGGATTTTGAGAAATGTGGCCACATCTAAAAAAAATATTTATTCATCATTAGAGAGGCAGCGCTTTTGCATTCTGACCTAATGTGCAAGACTTACAACTAACTTACAACTATGTATTAGTAGCACCATAATTACTGAATTACTGTACAGTAAATCAGATTTTTTCAGATATTTTTAGTTAAAATTCAAAAGTAACTGCTAGACAATAAACTATAAATCATTTAAATCAATATTGAACCGTGTGTTACTTATTGTAAAGCAAGCACTTGAATTCCCAGAGAGGGAAGCCCCTACAGTCTTCTTACCAAGTATTTCAGGGGGAAAAAGTTGAATATGTGGTGCTTTGCTGCATCAAACAAATTGTTTTCTGGTGTGACGAAACATTTTTTCCCTTACGGACGACCGACTTCCAACATCTGAGTCTTGTTAGGACAGTTAGACAGAACAACAAGACTGCAGGGTGAAGCAATGAAGAGATCAGTTAGTAATTGATCAGTAACTGATAATTAGTTCAATAGTAGTTTGTGCTTAATATTTCAATACAGTAATGATTAAACAGCTTAAAAACTTCAGTGCAATAAAAAGAAGGGCCAAAGACACACTTTGTGTATTTGTTTGTGTGTGTGTGTGTGTGTGTCTGCGTGTGGGTGTGTGCTGTGTGTGTTGTCATTCTACACCCCAAATTTAAGCCACAGAGCCACTGACCAGATGTTTTTTCTCTCTTTCTCCCTCTCAATCCATCTCTTGGTATTTTTCTGTCTCTTCTTCTCACTCCTTTGTTCTTTCCCTGAGAGTTTCCATTTTTATTGCTTCACAAGTTCCCAATCATTCATTTATTTCTGCCGTTAGACCCACAGTTAGCATGGTAATATGACCTTGAAGCCCCACTAAAAACTATATGACCTGTGGCTAAAATGTGACTAAAATAGTTATATTCAAAACTTCCAGGCTGCAACTGTGTGTTCTTTTTATTAATTAATCTGTTGATTTGTTTCTTGATTATTTAATTACATTTTCTGTCCACAAAACATCCAAAAACTATTAATTAATTATCTAAATAAATGCTATTGAACTTTCTGTCTATTGACCTGATATATTCACTCACTGTATCAGTACTGCGAGACTTACAATCAATGAAAGGGTGTTTCTCATGTTAATTCAATAAAGTTACACACACATTAGTATGAATGAGAAATGGATGTGAGAGAGAAATCTACATCACACCTAAAATGCTGCTCTGCTGGGGTTTGTTTTCTACCTGTGTTACAGTGAATCAACAATTTGCTAGTTTCTTCTCACGAGAGCACTGTGTCTGCACACGTCTGTCTCAGAGAATCTCCTTCAGTCCAATAAATGTTAAACAGCTAGGCTAGAGACTGAGGGAAGTTTACGATATCTAAGGCGAGGTTATTCATCACACAGCACGACGTAAAGTGCTGTCCGTGGTGCTGAATGTTGTCTGCAGGTGTTAACATGTAAATGGTCTTCTGGTGCCTGAACATGTGTGTCAAGTGCGGCACAGACGCTCAGACAGTTTCTTGAGGTTTGTAATTCAGCGTTGCAACTAACAATTACCAAAAGAAATCTGCAGATTATTGTCTCGAATAATGCTCTATAGAACGTAAAATACAGGCAACTTCTACACTGCTTTTTAGGTCAAACCAACAGTCAACTCACACATATTTAGCTTAGTGTATCATAAAAAAGAAAAACAACAAATACACAGAATTGAGAAGCTGGAACCAGCCTCCACTTCAACATCTCTCTCCCCTCATTTCCTGCCATCTCCTTCTAGTCAACTTCGTAGGAAAGGCATAAAATTACTACTATTACTTACTTATATTTCAGCTCTAAGTCTCTAATTTAAACATGAGCCACAAGGCAAAGAAAACTCATTCGTATACACCGTATTTTACATCTCCCATAGCCAATTACACAAAGAGTAAAACTGTGCAATCATTGATCAAATATGAAGTAAGGAAATAGCATTATGAATGACTTATGATCATCACACAGCCTGTGAAATTCTGCACAGTAGTTGGTTTTTCACCACTGCTCCCCATCAAATCAATCTTTGCCATCTGCAAAGTCGGGCCCTCAGCGGGAAGTAGGAGGCTGTAAAGTTGATGTGAATGACAGATTGTTGGCAGCACTCGACATCTGTATAATCTCTGTTAGAGTTGACCACCTAATAGGGAAATGCTGGCTGGCTGTAATTGTACAGGTCTTTTTGTTTTTACATTGCTATTGCTGTGCTGTTGTTGCATCTGCAAAAAGGAATTGTTTGAAAACACCCTGAAGTACTAATGCATGACGGATTGACACTGAGGGACTAAATGGAGGAATAAACAGAGCAACAGAACGTGATAACTCAAATTTATCAGCTGCATACCTTGGACAGGAGTCAGTAGTTCCAGTAATAACAGACAGACTTATGAGAGAAGAGAAGAGATGAGAAGAGAAGAGAAGAGAAAAGAAGAGGAGAGGCAGGGGCGGAGATATGGCTGTTGTCTGACAATGTGAAAAGGAAATTAAACAATGCTGAAACCAGACAGTAGACCTAGATTCTTGAAAGGTGAAACACAGCAACACACGTAAGGTACAACTTCTTTCATCCAAACACAGATATTTATCTAAAGATTAAGCTCTAAAGTAAAGAAATCACTTGATAGTATCTGTCAAAACAGCTGAGGGGAAACTTGGCTCAAAACCATTCTGTGCATCTTTCAAATGAGAAAAAGAAACTCTTGGCACTTATCAGGCATAGGCAATAGCTCGTCATGGAGAGCGGAGAATTTGTAGGTTTTTAACTCTGTCATAAACGCTACAGGAGGTAATTTTACTAATGAGCATCCGGAGAAGAAGACCTAATCAGGAAGATTAGCGCACAGTCAGAGACACTTATGTCGATGAACTGACCATTTATATCAAATGGTTATAAAAATACATTTGGCAGAAAAATGCTCTTGAAGCTCTCAAAGAATCCGAGCAGCAAGAGGCTTCTGCTGGGTGAACAACCCCTTCCCCTCTTAATATATGACATATATCCACATTAAATCTTAGTTAAGGAGGATGTTGGGGTGGTGGAGGGGTAATAGTGCGGGGTGTCAGGTTATAATGGATGCGCTGTACACCTGCATGAATATGATTGGATGTTAGGAGTCAGCTGGTAGGCACACAGCTGTGAATGAGCCAGGGATTGTGAAGCATGACTGAAACAGCTGATGCCAATCAGCTAATGCACAGCTTCAACGCTATGCTTCATCTTTTATTCATAGGAGAACTTGATGTCATTTATTTAAGCTACAGCCTAAGGAATTCATATTTACTGAAACACTAGTAGATTATGATATGTACCTTGTAATGAGTAGGTCTGGGTGTGGAAGTTCAGTATTGTTTTGGTACTGACAGAAGTAATGAAAGTGTCACTGAATGGACGGTGACAGTCATAATCTTGTTTACTTAATCTCTTCTTCAGATAGTTCCGGATTTAAAATGTTGGGTTTTTTTTACATTTCAGACTATTGCACTCAGGCATTATTGTGCTGCTGCTCAAGTTTAGACAACATTTATTGTTTCAGAGCTCTGTCTTCTTTTGTTAAATAAAAAAAAGTTTGTAGAGAAACATGTTCATATTTCTTAAATTAGAGAATTAAAAACAGTACTATTTTGGTACAAAATAAAGTACCAAAACCTACCAACATTTTTAAACAATACCCAGTGCTACTTAAGAGGACAGAACTGTTCTAGAGATGGACCTTGGAGCACTGCAAAAAGAGAGAGATATATGAAGGAAAGGTTTTCTGCTCAACTGGTGGGGTTTTGTCTGGGAAGGGGAGGAGACAGAGAAAAGGGGGAGAAGGAGAGGGAGGGAAAGAGAAAACGGGGTGGAACAGATCTCCCCCCCTGCACACACACACAAACACACATGTACATGTGCAGACACATGCACGCACATATACATGCACACTGCTCTTCAAAGCCAAGTGGTTTTCATAGACATCCAATTACACTAAGAGATGACATCTGGGGAACTGCAGCAGATAAATAAGGTGAAAGGAAAGACAAGATTCAGTCACCTCAGAGAAACTCCAGATAACCAGAGAGAGCACCACTGATAGAGATAGGAGAGAGGGAGAGGCAAAGGAAAGAGGGAGGGGGCCAAAAGAGAGGGAGCCACACACGGGAGGAAAGAAGAGAGGCAACGCGCTGCTCCAGCGCTCAGACTCCGAGAGGCAAGGACAGAGGAGAGATAGGGAGCTCAGCTCACTGACAAGACGCACAACAAGAGAGGGGAGAAAGACGAGAGCTCCCGGGCTCAGTTACACACTCAAGTAACTTCAGACCAGCTCCGAAAAACCAAGAGAAACAAGGGGGAGAAAGAAAAGAACAAAGTCTGGATTCTGTGACTCTTTTTTGTGGCCTGCCTTGCGTGGATTTCTCTGTACATTTTATGAGAAGCAGCATTAATCCCTTTTTTGACTTCCTGTTTTTATTTATTTATTTTGTGAGCAGTTTGGCATCTTTTATCCAGACCTCCTCTGCCTTCCTGTTATCCACCTCCCTGGACTGGAAAAGATCAATGGTTTGGGACATGTGTGTGTGTATGTATGTGTGAAGTAGATGTTTTTAGCAGTGTATATGAATGAACTGATAATGTGTGTTTTTGTCTTTTGAAGATGTGTAGGTCTATATACAAACTTTAAAAAAAAAAGTATTCTTAGTGCGTGTGTGTGTGAGAGAGAGAGTAACCAAAAGCAAAGAGCGGCAGCCTTGGGAGAAGAGAGCCAAGGTGGTGAGAGGTCTTTGAGGCGAGCCCCCCAGTTGTTCCCGTTGTGAGGTGATCTGAGTTATGGATGTTGACGCATTCCTCTGACGCTGCTGAGGAATAAACAGCACAGGGGACTACAGCAGAGCCACCGCAGGCTTCACCACCACCACCAGCAGCTGCATCACCATCACCCACAATATTACCGATAACTCTACATCTGCTACTATAATCACATCTACCGCAGACAGATTGTCTTCAGGAGCCATTCTACAGGTTTTAACAGCTACAGCTACAGAGGTTGGGGGTCCCCAGACAGAGGAGGTGTAGTCGGTCAGTCAGGGGGAGTTTCTCCCACTCTCATTCCCTCTCCCTGCACCCAGCTCAGCATGCCCCAGCCCCTGAGCACCTCCACAGCTCTCTCAGCTCCACTACCATGTGTAGATGGACAGTGACACAAGGTGCACCGGTCGCCTGGTTCTCCTCCTGCCCCTTCTGCAGACCTCCTTCACTCCTCCTCTCCCTCACCTTCCTCCTCCTGCTTCTCCTGCTCGGACCCTCCTCGTCCTCACCCCTGGCCACTTTATCGTCAGACTCTGAAAATAACCACAATGCGCCGGGAGGGACTCCTCCTGACATCTTCATCTCACGCCCGCCACCATCCTCGTCACCCCCACCAGTGCACGCATCCTCTGCGAGGTTGCCACGGGCAACCAATGTGTCTTCGTCCTCCGCGACTGTCGTCGGGCGCCACGTGCGGAGCAGCTACAACCATCTACAAGGAGATGTGCGCAGGAGGAAACTGTTCTCCTACCAGAAATTCTTCCTACGCATTGACAAGAAAGGAAAAGTTAATGGCACCAAAAGCGAGGACGACCCATACAGTAAGTCCACTTTGTTATATTTTAACAAGTGTGTTTCATTGGTTCTTTACATTTTAAGCAATATTCAAGGAAACAGCAACTTGTGAGAATTAGAAACCAATCTGGGATTTTTAAAAGTTTTCACTGGATATTGAGCCATTTCATTTGCACCAAAAATTGACAAAAGCACAACCAAAAGTTTGCTATTAAGCATTTTTTATATCTATCAAAGAGAACAGTGTGGATGCACTAGCTTTCTGCAAAGAGAGAGGTTTTCGGTCTTTCCACCCTTCAGCAACTGTGCACCTTATAAGATAGGTTACTGGGCAAAAGAACAAATAACAAAGCTGCGTGATTTTCAGCCCTTTCACCATGTGTACAGGCAGGCATATTTGCCAGACTACAGAGAGCATGACAGTGGGAGAGGAGAGAAAAAAACAAAATGAGTAAGTCAGGAAGATAAAAAAGAGAGATGATCCACTGGAACCAATTAGAAATGGCCCAGAGAAAGTTCTTCTTTCTTTGAGGAAATATCTAAAACACAGCTATTACCAAACCCCTGGGGAGAATGACAAGTAGACTTACTCCTTGCTGCTATTGTGCTGCAGCCATAATAGTGGTGGGCACATGCTAAGTATGAGGTTATACAGACTTAGATGTAAAGTAATAACCACGCGATTCCTGCTCCTTTTTCTGGTTGTGCATTTTGAGGGCTGTGAAACATGATTTTAACCTTTATTTATCCCGAGAAGGGTCACTGAACACACATGCGCTTTTGTCAGCACCACTCAGCCTCACATTCACACAGTTATACTCTTTCACACTGGGTAGGCTCCCAGCTCTTAGTCCTCCACTGTGGGGCATTGAAAAACTCCACTGGTGCTTTCAGGACACCTTGAGATACCTTAACTGTAGTTTTTGAGGGAGGAAATGGTATGATTGCATGACTGAATGCAAACTGCACAAATGATGTGGAATCTCTTGTAAGATAATAGATTCATATTAGGAATATTTAGTGTACAGTGACTATATATTAGCATGCAAACCTCACCAAAGCACACTACAAAGTACACTAGCAAATAAAAAATACTTTTAAAAACTTGTAAGGGTCATCATAATCATTTATGACTGATTCAGAACAGAAAATCAGCTGTTATCATTTTGTAGTCCACATCTTTATCTTCTAGTTAAACACATCTGGAAGTTCTCCAGGACTGCCACAGTCTTCTGGTCTCTGCCTAAGGGCACATTGACAGTAGTTGTTGAAGTAGAACAGAGCATTACTCCCACATTTACCTGCCCAAAGTTTCCCTGCCAGTTCACTGAATTAGATGGGTCACGTCCAAAACACGAACTAATTTCTGAAAGATTATACCGCAGGCTCTCGCTGCATTACGTCTACTACTATGTATACGAATCTGTCACAGCATGTCAAGAGTGTGTGTGTCTGGGGAATGTAAACGTCATAAATTGATTTTTATCACTCACACACCTTTATACACATGTCGTAGGTTTATCTGTCTGTGGGTCTGCGGTGCTGTACAAGCCTCTCCTGCTAAGAGCACACACACACACACACACGCTTGAGCACAGAGAGGCCAGTCTTGCACATGGCCTCCATATGGCAAAGCCCACTTTTATTAGGGCCAGGGCCAGTGTGAATATGTGTGTGCATGTGTGTCTCTGTGTGTGTGTGTGTGTGTGTGTGTGTGTGTGCCACTCAGACACCAGGGCTCTGCCAGACATGGTTGAAGGAATTTCAATTAGCGTCTCTTCCTCCCTCCCCTTGCCTGCAGTCCTTTCTGACACACACATGCATGTGCACACACACATACACTTTTACACACATGCACATAAAGAGCTCAGCCATTAGGGTGCAACGTGTCACTAACTATAATGGCATCAGGTCATGGCATTTGAAGCACAATCCATCAATTTCAACAGCTTTTGCCACTTGATTGTAGTGAAAAAATATAAGGCAAATGGGTAAGAACTTTGTAGTGAAAAAAGAATCTCAAATATGAGGACTTGGCCATGGAGGCCAAACCTTTCAGGATATATTTTGTCTTAGCAGCATATTTAGTAGGCATTTAATCAAATATCTACCTGATAGCAAGTGCAGATGTTTAACATGTTTCAGATTAAAAGACAATGTGTGAAAATGTGGCTATAAACTTTGGCTGATATGGCTGTAGTGAAATAATGATTAAATAATGTGTGTGTCTGCACACCATCATTATGTCCAGGTGCTTGTGCATTGACAGCATTTGCATCCGTGATTAAGCTTGCATTTACAGGAGTTTGCATGCTTATGCGCCACCTCCTGCTATTTTGCATGCACTCTAAAATCAGCAGAGAACAAATTGTACCCTTCAAACTAAACCAAACAGAACATGATTCAATTCTCCTCCACTAACTGACAACATGGATGTGGTATTGGTCATGCTAGTGTTTTTTTGCTTTGCAAGTTTTCAATGCACTTTTTGTTCATTTTAATATGCAACAGATTATAACATTGTTTTAGAGTTGATGGAAGCAAAGAAACTGCTTCAAAGAGCACACAGACCTTTGGACAAATTAGTTCTTTGAGGCAAGTTTCTGGCCTTTATGTGCTCATTAAAAACACATGGCTTTTCTGAGATAATGCAAACCTAGCTCTGTATATATATACTGTAATGTACCTACATAACAAAGTGTACTAAAATTGCCCCAATGTGTAAGAGAAAACTCAGGTGTTGCACATCTACAAGTTATAAAAAATTGATCTCTCCTTTAGGAAAGCATCACATTGAAAACTAGTAAGGGGGCAGTTGTTAGTGCTGTTATCATGGTCGAGTAGTCTGGTAATGTTCAGGAGGTCAGATTGCAAATGGGTGTCATTAGATGGTGTCAGAGGTGATGAAGAAGTTTCAGCTCCAGCTCCAGGGTCGAGGCTCTCCTCCACAGCTGAGCCTTTCTAATCATCTTGTCAAGCTGAGGGCAGTACATCGTTCAGGGTTTAGGGCCTGTATTGTGAGTGTGTGCTCACTGGTCCGTGGCAGTGTTTGTCTATTTGTGTTCATGTGAGATGGATGCTCATTTATCCATCTCACCTCACAAGGCCTTCAAAATAAGGCGCTCCTAGTCCAAGGATGGCATTCCTATCGGGCTGTCATGTGATTGAGCATTGATCCTGCCACTGACCATAAGCAACAGAACTGCCCTTGTTCTTCTTCCCTCGGTCTTGTCCACGGACTGTCACATCTTGTTTACAAACAAACGAATAAAGCAATGAAACAAATGGACATGTGTTTGCAGTTGGACCACAGACTTGTGGTCGTGCGTAGCTCAATTAGCATTGAACGGTGCCAACTTGACCACAGTCAGAGCTTTGACTCTAACTGTGGCCACCCGGATTGTAAAAGCTGCCGCACATACTTATTGTTAACATTAATCACAGCAGACACATTACCCGCTGACATGAATTAATCTAACGCACCACAATTTATGGAGAGTGTAATACACTGGACATTATTCTGATTTAGTGCAGGTTTTCCATGTCCAGGGTAATTACGCAGGTCTGCCCCCTCTGGTTTGACCTCTACCCATTGACCCAAGTCAGGAAGCTTTGTTAATGGAAAGGTCAGCGCTACACATAGTGCATCACTTTTGGCTGTTCTGTTACTCTGCCACTGTTATGTGTATAGCGGGGATGCAAATTTCATTTAATTTATTCATTCGTCTAAATTATACTATATATATATATATATATATATATACACACACACACACTTTAATACATTTAGATTTCCAGTGACACATCTGCATCCAACCATATTCTCTTACAGTGAATATTCTCCATCGCACAAAGTAATCTAATATATTATTAAGCGTAAAAAGAAAGAGAGTATTGCTGTAATATTGTTTTCAACACTAATCTTGTTTCAAAAAGTTTCACTGCACTAGAATGAAAGAAAATCACACTTGATTCTAGAAAATTCCTGAAACAAGTTGATTTGTATTGAAAATTGTCAAACTATTTCACTGCAGTGGCAGATTTTTTCCACTTTTTTTGAAAAAAATTGGATTGGATTTTTGCAGTTACCATATTACCAAAAAAAGCAAAACAGAGCAAGAAATGCCCGTTCTTTTAATGTGAAAAGCAGAACAAAGTTGTGTTTCAGAAGCATTTGAATACGCCTTAAAAACCACAACCACCTCTTCTCATCTTTCTCCTCTGCATCAAAAAAACCTCCAATGACTCAGCAACATTAACGCATAACAAAAAAGTGCCATTTTTGAATATGTTTACCATTTTCTTGAAATGAGTCGCAGTCTTTTCCCTTTTTCTACTCCTGTACATCTTTATTCTCCCTGCTCTCCACTTGATGAGTGAGTTTAGGGTTCTCGTGGGAAAAGGTAACAGTGTGGCCCATAAAAGAGAGTTATGAGGTGGTACTGGATGCACCAGAGGTTAGTGTCAGTGTTGCTTTTCATTCAGACTTACTTTGACATCTTCATAGACTCTCTTTCTCTCTCTCTCTCTCTCTCTCTCTCTCTCTCTCTCTCCAACAGCTGTAAATAAAAGCTGTGAGCAAACGTCACAGCACAAGCTTGTTCAGGAAATGCTGAACCCATCATCGAGTACCCCTAAAGCTGCCAGAGTCGAGGCTAACATCAACAATTACATTCAGCTGCACTCTAAAAACATACAATAAACATATACTACCTGCACACTCCCTCTGATCCTCCCTCCAACAGCATTAATTTGGCCTGTGGTTGAAACTAATAGTTAGTTCTCCTTATAGGTTGTAAACAAAAATCATGGAAAACCATTCAAGGTAATGATTGAAATTAGTCAGGCTCTTTTACTTAATCACCTCATAACATCTTAGAAACTCCAATCCGTCTGGATGAACAAATAATTTAATTTTCATATGGCAAACTTCGTGTCTGAGAGTCTGGATCAAATCATGTCGGTTCCAGATCATCACTTCTTTACTGGAATCTACGGAGCAAATGCTGTCAGTGTCCTGCAGAAA